TGAGGCTCCATCTAACATACTTTGGACATGTTGCAAGGAGGGACCAGTCCTTGGAGAGGGACATCATGCTTGGGAGGATGGAGGAACAGAGAAAGAGACCATCGATGAGATGGATTGATTCAGTGACTGGTGTAGTGAGGGTAGGTATGTCAGAGAGTAAAGTTGGCACAGGATAGAACAAATTTCAGGGCTCTTGTACATAGGGTTGCTATGAGTTGCAAGTGACTTGTCGGCACATAACAACAACATATACATGCACACACTTGTAGATTTGTTGTTATGTGCCGTCAAGTCGGAACCGACTCATAGCTGACCCTCCTCCATCAGGTTTTCAGAGGCTGTAAATCTCACAGGAGTTGACTATCTTTAACCCATGGAGCAATGTTCTCTCTCTCTCTCTCTCTCATCTATCTCTAATCTATAGCTCTCTATATATCTCCATGAGAGAAAGACGGGCAGTGTTTCCCTGTTCCGTTTGCAGCCTCTGAAAACCCACTGGAGGGTCAACTATGAGTTTGTTCCAACCAACGACACATAATCTCTGTTTACATATAAACTGACACATGTTAACCGTCACACTTACCCCATTACCCGATTCTGCTCACCTGTAGCAGCGGCGTGGAAAGCACCTGTCCAGATCCTTTTCACCACAGTGTTGCGGGTGATGAGGTTTATTAGGCGGCTTCTAAGAGTTTGGAGTCACCCCAAGTCAGGGGCACCTCCCTGGATGACTACCGTTTAAGGAAGACTTGGCATTTATTTCAGGGGACAATGGTGATTCAGTGGTGGGATTTTCGCCTTCCTTATGAGCCCTGGGTGAGTTGCTGGCCGGTGTCCCTCCTGTGGCCGACAGGCTAGCCCACCTTTTGTCTGTGGATTCTTTGTTGTTGTTTTGATTCTGAATAGGTTTCAGCAGAGCAAGACTGAAGGTCAGCCTGTGGGTGACCTGTGGTCAGCCTGTGGATGACAGTGGTCCCACCTCCAGTCCGTCACAGCGGCGATGCAGGACTGGGTGATTTCTTCACGTCTCCGGGAGCCAGAAGCTGACCCTCCAGCCACTAACCGCAGCCCCTTTGTTTCAGACACGGTTTCCCGCCGGCTCTCGGACTCGTACGGGAAGGAGCTGCTCCTGAAGCGCACCATCGTGGAGGAGCTGGCGCACTCGGAGGACCATGACCTCACCCTGAGCTACCTGTCCATGTGGCTGCATCAGCCCTACGTGGACAGCTCCAGCCCGCTGCTGCTGGAAGGCATGCTGCTGGAGACCGGCCACCGAGCGCTGTGACCCAGGGCAGCCACGCAGGGGCGCCGTCAGCCTCGGACCAGTCGCTGCCCGTCAGGTGCCACTGCAGTATCACCTGCACCTCTGGTGACCTGAGCACAGGGCCAAGCCAGTTCCCCGGCAGAACCAAGAGATCTTGTTTTTATAAACGGGGCGAACTTTACATAGTACATTTATTTGCATTGAAAATCCCTAGTTTAATATTTTTACTTGGGAAGTGCCTGTATTTCAATTTTAATGATGTTTATTTTGTAATTACAATGAATTTCTAAAGTACGGTGGAGCTAATGTATGGCATCACAGAACCAACAGTCCCTGCAGAGAACCTGCCTCTGGACTCAGGCCGGGCTGGCCTAGAGAGGCCCACCTCCGCGTGACTATTCTGACACAAAGCTTAGAGTCCGGCAAGCTCTCACATGCATCTCCACGGTCAACAGATGTTGCTAGATAACAGGAAATGCGAGCAGTTTTGAAACAGACTGAAGAGGTGGTTGGTGAAGATCGTGCCCCGCTGCTCCAATGCCCTTTGAACCACAAGCCCATCTGTGGTGTGGCTCGCACGTTTCCTGGCCCCAACTTGGTCATGATCTTTACAGCTATACATAGAAAGATACTTAATTTTTAATTAAGTTGTTCCAGCTTTGTATGGTTAGTCATTTTGTTGTTGTTGTTACATGCTGTTGAGTTGCTTGCGACTCCTAGCGACCCCACGTACAAGTGCCCCAATCCTGCTCTGTCCTGTGCTGACCTCATTGTCTCCGACACACCTACTCCCACTACCCCAGTCACTAAATCGATCCATCTCATCGAGGGAGGGACAGCGCAGGGGAGGAAGACCCTGGTGAGTCATTGTGTGTACAGCATATTTGTGTTTGTTGTTGTGAGGTGCCATCAAGTACAACTCACAGCCACCCTGTGAATAGCTGATCTGAACCCTGCCCTGTCTTGTCCTGTCCTCTTCATCTCTGACACACCTGTGCCCACTGCTGCAGCCACTGTGTCAGTCTGTCTCATTCAGGGTCTTCCTTTCTTTGACTGACCACCTTTCCAAGCATGTATCCCTCTCTAAGGAACAGCCTCTCTTAACAATACGCCCAAAGTACGTGAGACGAAGCTTTGTCATCTTTGCCTCCAAAGAGCATTCTGGCTGCACTTGATCCAAATATCTGTTTAGCTAGGCCATGTTCACTTTCCTTCACTTGATGTGGACTTTTATGTGTAGAAGGGAGCACTGATAGTCTAGTGGGTAAGGAGCTGTGCTGCCAATCCAAAGGCAGGCAGTTCAAATCCACCAGCTGCTCCACAGACCTAGATGGGCCGTCACCTGCTGTGCAGTTTCCGGCCTCTAAAAGCCCACTGGAGAGCCAGCCGTGAGTCGGTTGATTTGAGGATATGACATTTATGAGTATATGTAGAACTCACAGCTGGTGTCTACTTTGGAAAACCAAACCATGAAAAATCCCACAGAGCAGTTCTAACCTCACACAGGGTGCTGCCCAGAATCGACGCTGACTTGATGGCACCAAACACCACTACACAGTTGTCTCTGCTCCAGAAATCCCACCAGAGACAGTGGAGACCAAGAACTGGATCAGGGGATTGGAGGATGAAAAAATGAGAAAAGTACATTAGGTGAAAAGATAAACTCCAGGAAGACAGGCTTACAGGACAGCATAAAGGTAAACACTGCGTGGCCGGGGCTCATGGAGCTGCATTTATACGTCCTAAAATGTCGTCCAGGTTGAGCTAACCGAGGGGCTCCATGCTCATCTGCTGGCCAGTCCCCTCCTCCAGGATGCTTGACCTTCTGTTTCTGTTAAACCTGCCAGTGACATCAAGTGAAGAGGTGGGAATGTTTGTCAGTTAGGGAAAGGCTGGGCACTGGGCTGCCAAAACAGCGAAGTGGGGAGAGGTTTGGCTAGATCCCTGGGACAGAGGGCTCCTCGGGCATCCCAGGAAGGAGCTGTCCCCAGGGAGAGGCAGCCTGTGACCCCACTCCGTGCTTAAGCATCATCGTTCCTGATTGGGGTCAGCCCCTGGGGACACTCTTGTCCAAATGAGGGCAGATGCTGCTGCCCTGATGTCGTGGGCTGAATCATGTCCCCTCAAAAATACACATATGTAAGGACATCGTGTTTGGAAATGTGGAGGGTCAGCGAAGAAGGGGAAGCCCCTCGAGGAGGTGGACTAATGTTGGGCTCCAGTATATTAGATTGTGAGGATGGCGCAGGGCAGGGTTCAGATCATGTTAGGAGTCAAGTGGGCTTAAGGGCACTTAACAGCAGTAATAGAACGTGGAAACTTCGCAATGATCCCTTATGATCTAATGTGCCAAGCAGCTGGAAAAGGGTAAGGTGGAATGCAGCACACTTTAATCTCATCACAGCCCTAATTCTACTGTAACACCTTTAATCTCATAAGAGTTAACAAGAGTGGAAAGTGAGCTGACAGGGGCCTGAGAACCAAGGAAGGCTCACCCCGAGGGGAGTGCATCCTTCTGGACTGGAGTCTGCATGAGGAAGCTCCGCCCCACCGGGAAGGTCCGGACACACTGGAATCTCCAAGGGACGCTAGGCCTGCAGGTGCTGAAGGAAGCGAAGACCCTCCTCCAGAACTGACAGGACCCTCCCCTAGAGCCAGCACTTTGAATTTGGACTTGAAACTTCCTCCACTCTAAGAAAATGTATTTATTAAAACTGTCCACGTGTGGTACCTCTGTTGTAACCGCGTTAGATAACTAAGAGACCTTCCTCCTTCTCCATCATCCAGCCTCAAAAGTCCCTCAGGTGCACTGAGAGCAGGTGGGAAGCACAGATTGTCTCGGGGAAGACGTCACAGCTGGGAGGGGACAACACCCACCACGAGTGCCCTCAGAGAGGGCCAGCTCCTGGGCGCGCCCCTCGCCCCCCACCACTGTGGGATGCTGGGAGCAGGATCGGCCGCTGCCTCCTGCCTGTAAGATAAATTTGTGAAATAGTGTACCATAGGCTCACACCAACTGTACATACCTGTAAATAGCAAACGGAATAAAGCTCTCCACTCATCAAAAAAAAAAGTCCCTCAGGGAAGAGACCTGCATAAGCTTGGGCACTGAGGGGCTCAAGCTCGGCCCCACCCGCTGCTGTGGGCCCCTGAAAGTCATTTGAGTCCTCATTCTCTTTCCCACCGCCTGTGAAAAACAACTTTCTTCCCACCCACTCCCATAAGATGTGACCCAGAATGGCTAGCCTCGTGCTACTGTTAAAGAATCCAGCCGCGGGTCCTTGTCCAGGTCTGTTAAGAGAGCAGCGGGGTATGGAGGGAGGGCAGCAAGTACCTGTGATGATGTGGAAATGTTCACTGCAAACAGCCACCAGAAGCTGGTGAGGATTAGAGCTCAGGAGGGATTCGTTATCAGGGAGGAGGTTACAGAAAAAGCCAGCCAGTGGGGTGGAAAGATACTATTCTTTATAAATAAAAGGTGCATTTGTGTCACTATTCACATTAGAAAAATACACGTGGCTTGAAATAGACCTCTGAATAAAACAGCGCAGCACTCTGGTTCTGACCGTCTCACGGCGTCACGGGGAGGGCTCGGTGCCCCCAGCCAGGAATGCCTCCACAGCCTCCAGGGGGACACCCTCCGGCGGCAGGCCCTCGTGCAGGGCAGGGCCCTCCACCTGGGCCACCAGCACGACGCCCTCCTGAGTCACATCAGAACCCGGATGGGACAGGAGGAGCCCCTCTGACGTCTGGATGAAAATCTCCTGTCCCTGAGGACACAATGTGCGGCACTCGCTGGTGACTTCAAAAGCCACGGCCTCTCCCACGGCGACAGTGGTCTCCAGCTCAGTCTGCTCAGCCCACTCCTCAGCCCTGCTGGGCTCACTCGGGGCCCCCGTGTGGCTTGTAAGGTCCCGAGCCGTTGTCTGTGACCCGTGGGGACCAGGCTGAGGCCCAGGCTCGGAGGCAGTCCTGGGGGTGCAGTCGACCAGCACGGCCTCAGGGAACAAGGTGGTCTCGAGCTTCGGGGCCGCGACACCTGTGAGCGTGACAGTGCTGGGGACAGGCTGCCACCCGTCTGTATGGGAGGCGCATGCACCACCCTGGGCCCTGACCGCTGCATTCCCAGCCCCGCCAGGCAGCAGGGACGCTGGCCCTCCAGTGGACACGAGGCCACTGCAGAGATCTGAGTGTTCTCCAGTGTCCTGGGCCGAGTGACTGGGGAGAGCCAGGGATGAGCCCACATCCCCACCGAAGGCGTCGCCCTCAGCAAACGTTCTCGGCTGCTGACCGGCAGGGAGTCCACTGTGACCTCCGAGGGGACCCGCCGCAGGATGGCCTTCATTACGGTGCTGGGACGGGAGCCTGGTGACTTGAGGGCCACGACCTGAGGGTCAGGGGAGCAGAATGAACACCCACATCGAAATTTACTCTCTTGCCAACAAATACAAGACTTCCTTGCTACATAGGAGTAGCAGCAAATTTGTTTTGCATGAGTCCTTATTATCATTTCTAAAAGATACATTTTGCCTGAAAACTTCCCTAAAGCTAGTAGTGCAATTTTGTCTCTATACTGAATAAGTTTGCAGTTCTGAACCTCAGAGCTTTTCAAAGCCCAAGCGCCCAAACCCTAGACTATGGCCTGGAATCACCCTTAAGCCAGGAGCTAACTCACTCACCCCTTGTCTCATCCCCATCCAAACAAGACAGCTCTGTAAGGTGAGCAGTCACACCAGCGAGGAACACACTCCTTAAAGCAGTGACCCATACAAGACCTACAGGGCAGCATTTTTCTGGAGATAAAGTGTGAAAGCAAGAAAGAGTAGGACAGAAATGAGAGCCACAGGGAGGAAGGAGAAAGAATGCAGTTATAATGTCAGGGTTGTAATCCAGGTAAAACAAAATGGGTGTGGATGGCTGGATAGGAAACTAATTTGCTATGTAAACTTTCACTCAAATCACACACACAACCACACTAAGAAAAAAACAGACAGACCCTGCCTGAGCCCCACCTGGGCTCATGGGACATGCACAGGTGTCTGGATTTCAAAGGCACCCCTGAGGTGACCCCGACAGCCGTGAAGAGCCAGCGCCCTGGACATCAGCAGCTGGGAACCCTCTTACTCCTCACGAGGTTGTGTCCTGCCAGGGCTCAGCCCCTAGGGAGGTGCGCGGGAAGGTGTGGGGTGAGCAGGGAGGGGAGTGTGGAAAGAAAGCAGGCTGCTGGAGAGGGTGTGGGGGACATCGGTCTCCTCTGGGACCCGAGTCTAGGGACTTGATGCCTCGCCATGAAAGCCGTCCATGCTGTAATGGCGAGAAAGCCTCTCCCAACCGGACCCTTGGATCAGCACCCTGTCAGGCCACTCGGGGGGCCTCTCAGAGCTACACAACTCCTCTCGTGTGGACGCCGGTCAGCAGGCAGCTGACAGTCTGGCTAGAGCAAGACTGGAAGCAAGAACATTGCTCCCAAGTGCCAAGGGGCAGCCTGGCATTGGGAGTCCACCCTCATAAAGGCCATGTCACACACCCAGTGCGTCAGGGCCTCCTCTCAGGCCCACCCACCCTTCCTAGATCTCCTAGGCTTGGTCACTCACTGAGGGTGTGGCTCTTCACGTTTAAAAGGACCCAAGAAAACCTTGATTGGGCTCAAGACTCAGAAAGACAGCAGGAAGATGAGGCTAAACGAGAAAGGAGCCTTCGTCGAGCCCAGGGCCGGCCGCATCCTCTTACCTCCCGTGTCGATGGGGTCGCACGCTGTCCTGGGCTCCTCCTGGGCTCTGCTGGGGGCAGTTGGGGGCTCTGTGTCATCTTGGGGCACAGGTTCTCTTCTGGTCCTTTTCTCCGAGGCCAGCGCCTCTTCTGGGGCCTGTGGAGAGAAGACCCATCGCTATGACAGTGAAGGGATGGGAGCCTGTCCTGTGCCCAGAGAACAGTGCTGTGAGCTAAGACGTCAAGCCAAGTCATCCACCCTGGACAAGGACAGCTGGGCGTCCAGGTGGCCCAGGCTCACCTCGCGCCCCCGCTTCTGCCCACCAGCCTCCTCCGCCGGCTGCACCCCGTCTGCCTCTCTGCAGGCGCGTCGCCCTGAGAGTCCACTGGTGTCTGTGTCTCTCTTCCTCAGGAACTCTTCTGTGATTCCCAGTGACTCAGCAACCTGGGGGCCAAGGGGCCTGTTAGTGAACTGTACTTCCAGAAATGGTTGAACTGGGGGAGGTTTTGCTTCGCAGACTTTCAACAACAAATAAAATGAATGTAATATTCTCTAAAAAAAAGAAAGAACAAATGCATCCTGAAGGAAGTGCAGCCAGAAGGCTCCTTGGAGCAAGGTCGGTCGGTGGAATTTTGTCTCACTTAATTTGAGCATACTCTCAGAGGGAATCAATCGTCAGTGAAAACCACTGCGCTGGGGAGGTGGCGGGTCACAGAAAGAGAGGAAGACTCTCATCGAGGTGACTGCCACGGTGACTGCCCCAGTGGGCTGGTGTATGAGAGACTCAGGACTGGCAGGGTGTTGCCAAGTTCAGATCTGTTATTTGTAATCAATCCGCCTTACAAGTGGATTTGTATAAAACTAACAACAGTGACCACAACAAAACTGAAAACAAATAAAAAACCTACACATTATTTCCACTTTGGGCTAGCAATGCAACTCCCTACACACAAGGCCACCAGAGCCCCTAATTTCTCCATTGGGAAGGAGACTTGTTGCTACCAAAGAAGAATCACGTGTCCTGTAAGTGCTAATCCTGGTATCGAGGGGCAGACCCTTTGGCTTGACCCAATGCTAAGAGCAGATAAAAGCCCCACAGTTTCCTAACATTCCTTGTTGCTTTCTACTCAGTCTTTGATATTGTAAATAAACAATAGATAGTTAACAATCATGGCAGCGAACGGAAAGGACCATGAGCTCTCTGCACAGAGGTGGGAACTGAGGCCCAGCGGCTCCGTGATGAGTGCCCGGGTCAGAGACACCGACTGGCCCTGGTGCTTGGTGTCAAAGCTGAGTCCTCCACACCTCCTGGTGGCACACTGCTGAGACCCTGGAGTGGCCATGAGCCCATAACTGTGGGATGTGCCCTCAACAAGGCATTTCCTCCATGACAAGACAACCACATTCAACATGTTTGCAAAGAACGCGGCATCACCCAATGCAATTTGACAACAGAAACAATGAAAACTAGAATTATGTCAAAACAGTCACACTCAGTAACTATCAGGCCCTGTGTTACCTGTCCCTTGACCTATGTGATGAAAACAACATACTATTTAATTGACTATGCCAGCCAGTGACCATGAAGGAGCCCTGGTGGCAAGGTATTTAAGGCTGCAAACCAAAAGGTCCGCAGTTCAAAGCCACGAGCTGCACCATGGGAGAAAGATGACAGTCGTCTTCCGTAAAGATTCCTCCCCTCAGTGCTGTCAAGCCGGAACCAACTCACAGCCGACCCTCCACTGTGTCTCCAAGGCTGGAACCACACAGCCTTGAAAGAGGGGACGGGGCTGCCCACCTTTCTCCGAGGAGCCACTGGAGGATCAAACCACCACAAAGGCGTGGCCTGTGGATTAGTCGGCCATGAGGGCTCCTTGGAAACCCTACAGGCACGTTCCACTCTGTCCTCTGGGGTCACTATGAGTAAGAACTAACGCAACAAGAGTGGGTGGGCTGATCAGTGAAGGAGGCTGAAGGGTGTTTCAGCTTTCATGCATGCAGTAATTTTCTAGAACAAGTGTTTGTTGCTTAAGAAAAAATTCATTTGATAGATGAAAGAGCCAAGGTAACGCTACCTTTGAAAACCCCACCCTGCTCTGCTGTGCTGACGAACACCCTTCCCTGGGCCTCTGGGAGCAGCGCTGGCTGCCCACGTGCGTGTGTTACCTTACTGTTGCTTATTTCCAGGGGCTCCAGAGAGCACGGGCCGGAACTGCTGAGGTATTCTTGACACATCTTCTTAACCATTTTATGCAGCTCTTCAAACTCTTTATATACGGCTGGGAACAAAGGCTTTGCGAGATGATTCTGTTCAACCTTAGGGACGATAAAGATGACCGGAAATGTTTAAGTGGAGTAACATACAAAATAGAGAGAGGCATTTAGACAGAAGGCAGAAGACCCCCTGGGGCAGTGTATCCTTCTCTCCCCACAAGAACTGGCTGTGTCCAGCTGCTGGCCTCTGCACTGGGGGAGACAAGACTGGGGCCAAGAACAAGCCAGCCCATGAGACAACTGCCTGGAGGCGTGTGGGGCCAATCCAGGGCTCCAGGAAGGCAGCCCAGGGCGTGGTGAGGGTGCAGGAAGGCCTGGGGATGGGTGTCCCCCAGCCCGGCAAACGGAAGGAAGGCCAGCCTTTGGTTCTGCAGGGTGCTGCTAGCACACGGGGCAGGCATGACGGCGTCCCGGACTATGTCTGCCATCAGTGGAACATTGAGAGAGCACAGCATGGGCCGTGTGACCCCCCAGGGTAGAGGAGCGCCGGGGACGGAAGGTACGCACAGCTGGTGTGGTCTGCTATGGCTTTATTGCTCGTTCCTCCCTCCCTCAAGGCTAACAGTACAGACTGTGACAAGCAGAAGGCCCAGAAGACCTTACCACGTGTCACCAGGTCCCTAAACCATGGCCAACAAAGTCCTCCTCTGAAAACCCACTGGAGGGTCAGCTAAGAGCCCGTTCCAACTCTATGGCATCTGACAATAAATTGAACTTAACAAGGTCCTCCTGCTCTGTCCTAAAGACAGAAGGACACCAGGCGCCTCCTCAAACCAGAAGCTCAACCAACCCCGAGTGTGTGAAAACTCACCTTCATCAGAAGAAATTCATAGACGGTCACAACTGGAGTCAGCTGAGACAGAGCTGGTGCCACTCGGTCCTCCTGGTCACTCTGCTAGGGAACAACCAGAAGGTGACATTACCTCTGAATGCCTTGCAAGAGCCTCAACAGACAAGATGTTGGTACAACATAGAGGCCCATTGGGACCCGGGGCTTAGAGATCCAGCGAGGGGGAAACGTGTGTCCTACCCTCTCGGGCTTACCAACTAGAATATACACAGTGACGCTGTGGACACAGGCAGAGGCATGGGTGAGGCAGGAGCCAGTGACAACAGCCAGGTGGCCAGCTGAGGGGTGCAGTGGGTGCTATTATACACCTGTGCCACTGACAGGTAGCCCAGGGCTGGTCTCGGAGTCCCTCAAACTCAGGCATAGGGGGAGAGAGATTTTGGTAGTCACTGAAGTGGAGGTGCAGACAAAGATCTGGAAGTGACACAGTCGGGAGACAGGAGGGGGTATAGGTGAAAGATGTGAACCCAGCAGGAAGGAGGGCACAAGGTGCAGTGCAGACCCAGCGGGATGGGGAATGAGGTGAGGTGTGTTGACAAAGGGGCTGCTGTGGAATGAATAGAGGGGTGCTGACACAGGGGGTCCTTTGGAATGACAGGAGTGTGCTGATACAGGGGCTGTTGTTGAATGAGTAAGGTGAGGTGTACTGACACAGGGACTGTTGTGGAATGAAGGTAGATGAGCTGACCACAGGGGGTGCTGTGGAATGAATGAAGTGAGGTGTACTGACTCAGAGGGTGTTGTTGAATGAATGATGTGAGGTGTGCTGACACAGGGGCTGCTGTGGAATGAATGAGGTGGTGTGCTGACACAGATGGTGTTGTTGAATGAATGATGTGAGGTGTGCTGACACAGGGGCTGCTGTGGAATGAGGTGGTGTGCTGACACAGAGGATGTTGTGGGGTGAATGAGATGAGGTGTGCTGACACAGGAGGTGCTGTGGAATAAATGGAGGTGTGCCGACATGGTGACTGCTGTGGAAGGAATGAAGTGAGGTGTTGCTGAACTTAGCCCAGGGTCTCTGGCTGGCTGAACAGTCACTCTGACAGAACTTGATAAACAGCGGTTAGCTGAGGATGACTAAAACCACATAGATTTTCCAAGCCTACAATTAGAAAAAGATTAACTCCCCAGTGTTTGCACTTGGAGCGAGAATATGTACATTTTGCCTAGGAAAACCCACTTCCTCTCTGATAACCATGGCTCCCCTGTGAGTGGGAGGCTTGGTGCCCTGGGTCCCTGGAAACCACACTGTCTGGGCCTTTCATCTCTCTGACAGATTATCCTGGGCTCTCTTATCATTTTCCCACCTTTTTAAGACAAATATGTACAGTTCTAGCTAAAGACCATTTGGGTAAGCTTAAAGTTCCACTTCCCCAAGTCAATTCAGGTAAACTCAATAAACCTACTTTCAAAGGACTGAAAATGAGACTCCAGGGCCCAAAAGTAAAAATGTGGTTTTTATCCCTTGAAGCTTCTTATGGAAAAAATACAAAAACCATTTCTGTTATCTCCTAAACCACTTCTATGGAAAGTTTACAACTATTCCCATGTGTGTAAAGGCCAGCATCTCCCAGAGCCACCACGGAGGCCATAGTGTCATCCAGCACAGGGCAGCCAGGTGTCACAGGCAGCACTCCCGTGGGGTTACACTACTTCATCCAGGTACAGCTCGGGTGAACGGCAGCTCATCTGAGTACTTCACTCTGAGAGTCAGGAACCTCATCAGGAGCTGCCACATTCCACGCAGTCACGGGGTGAAGTACGTCCCCCCACGCTACACTCCTCTTGGCTGGGCTGTGATTCTCGTGGCTTGCCAATCATGGAACGACACCATCCTCCCTCAGGACCTAACCTGACGTGACCAGCATCAGATGTCAGGGCATTAGGGCAGGATGAATCACCTTGACCCTCTTAGGCGGCAGGACAGACCTAGAAGGACCGCTACGACTGGTCTAACGTGTCCGAGTGTAACAGGGCGGGGTCCGGTGTTGCGCCCTCCGTGACGGATGGAAGGCACCCAATCGTGGCTACTAATAACAGACCTATAAGCGCCATAAGGTTATTACTAGTGGAGGAAATAAAGATTTGTAGGAGTTCCCATGTGTTTGTATGGAGTAGAAATCAGGCTGCGGAGAGCACAAAGCCTACATCACCCATTCGATCACACGGGACAGCTTATAAGACTGTGACCTTAGCATCAGTGCAGCCACGTCATCGCCCAGTTAGTGGGAATGCCTGACTCCCACATGGGAATGCCATGACTCCCACACCACCTCAGCCAATGAACAGCTGGAATAGTTAGCTAGCAATAACTCTAGTTTACTAACGACAGGAACTAAAATAAGAGTGGGTATTTTAGGAATCAATGAATATTGAGGAATATTCTCACAATGAGAATTCCATTATTGATCAAGTGATGATGAATGCCACTGGTATAAATATTAGCGAGAAGTGGTCCAATTTGAAGCCAGAGGGAAACTTCTAGTGTACGAACTGTCACTCAGTGGATATGGCTTCTTGATTCTGCGGGTGAAGTTTGGGATTTGTGGTCCTGTGAGAGCAACACAGAATGGGAATAAGCAGGATAATTAATAATTATTGAGAAGGTAGAATATAGGTCAACTGCTTTTATTTGGAGTTGCACCTCTTTTTGGTTCCTAAGACTAACCATCGAATGAGTCTATGACTCAAAGACACCTAACTACAATAACAATGACAATATAGAGCTACGTCGGCCTAGTGGACAGAAAGTTATGCTACCTAGTCCAAGGTGGGTGATTTTAATCTGCGGCCCTCAGGCCTGGTTTTAATTGTTTTGTCAAACATTCTTCTAGGTGGTATAGCACCGGTCTGTGCATTGGTGTACAGAGGTAACTCGTGGTTGCTATGATGCTAAACACTGTGACACTGATGTGTCAAATTAAATAATGGTTACCCATGGTGGACCGTGTTTGGTGGAGCTTCCCAATTAAAACGAGCTTGGAAACAGGAGTGGCATCCGCTTCTGAAATGGCTTGCCTCCGGAAACTCTATGAACAGTGCTCAGGCCTTTTGTTCATAGGGTCGCTATGAGTCGTCTATGACTCAACGGCACCTAACAACAAGACCAACCATCATCCTTCAAAAGCTGGAAAAGTCACAGGCTTAAATAGGGAAAGAAGAGTGGGCAGTTATATATTTCTCAGTGCATAAGAAGGGTTAAACTTCTCTTACTAGATTTACAGTCCTAAATTTACAACCCTAACTTTTAAGGCTGAGCGAGCATGTATATAATGGAAGTAAGCGTCTAATTCAAAGAGCACTTTCTCAGTCAGTGGTGGTTTGATGGTGTTTTTACAGGGCACCATCTTTCCTAGCAGTGTTACAATTAGCATATGTAGGGAGTATAGTGCTGTGAGAGGGAACTCTGGTGGCTTAGCGGTAAGGAACCGTGCCACCAAGGCAAAGGGATGTGGTTCAAATCCACCAGCTGCTCTGGAGAAGAAAGATGGGCAATCTCCTCCCATGTAACGTATCGCCTCTGAAAACTCCCTGGAGCGTCAGCTGTGGGTTCCCACTCGGTACATAACAAGACAATGATGCTATAATGGTAAATAGCTCACCAATAAGATTAACTGTTGAAGGAAGGGCGAAGGTAGCCAGGCTGGCCAGGCCTTATCATGGTGTTCTGAGGGGAAGGAATGTTTGGAGACCACAAGTTTGGCTTTTCAGTTGCTTGTAACACCTCTGAGAGCTGGACAATGACTGAGCTGGACAGAAGAGAATCGATGCCTTTGAGCTGTGGTGTTGGAGAAGAGTGCTGAATAGTCCATGGACTGCCAAAAGAACACAGACATATGTCTTGGAGAAAGTGCAGCCAGAATGCTGGCAAAGCCAGAATGGAGATAAAGGTGATCTAGCTTCCTCTCACATACTTTGGGCATGTTTTCTGGAGAGGGACATCATGCTTGGAAAGGTGGAGGAGCGGAGAAAGAGCGGAAGACTCTCACCTAGGTGAGCTGACACAGTAACCGTCACAATGGGCTTGAGGGTGTCAGAGATTGTGAGGATGACACGGGACAGGGTGGCCTTCAGATCAGTTGTTCAAGGGTCACTGTGAGCCGTACCCGACTCAACGGCACCTAACAACAACATGGATGCACACGCAGTTGGTGTTGGTGAGTCAGAACAGTGTGGACGATGTTAGCTGAGGGTAACTATTAGGGCTGCTGCGCTTACGAAGCTTCGTGGTGTTTGGATTATGACGGCTACGATTATGAAGGTTATGTGGCTAACAGATGAGGAAGTCGTAAGTGATTTAAGATCAGTTTGGCGCCTGTTATGATTATTTCGTACAGTGAGAAGATGATGAACGGGCAGGGTATTGATGCCTGGTGTTGTTTGGTTGTTTGCTGTCAAGTCAGAAATGACCCACTGCTGACCCTCTGGTGGGCTTTCAGAGGTTGTAAATCACACCAGAGGAAACTGACCGTCCTTCTCCTAAGGAGCAGCTAGTGGATTTGAACCGAGTGCCTTTGGGATTGCAGCTTAGCTTCTTAGCACTAGGTCACCAGAGCTCCCTATTACGTCTGTTAGTGGGTTTAAAGCAACAGCTGTCTTATACTTTAGCTGCCTAGTTTTAGTGGGAGGACAGCTAGGAATATGGGGCCTGTGACAAGGGCCTCACCTCACTGTGAACTCTATTAGGTATTCACAGGTGGAGGCCAAATATTGTTATGTGCCATGAACTCACCTGCAATTCATAGCAACCCTACCTATGTACAACAGCTCTGAACTCCACTCTATCCTGAGCCAGTCTCATTATCTCCAACACACCTACCCTCATTATCCCTGTTACCGTGTCAATCCATCTCATCCTGACTCTTCTTCCTCTCCTGTATGTCCCTTCACCCTTCCAAGCATGATGTCCTTCTCCAAGGACCAGTCTCACCTAGCCACATGCCCAAAGTGGCTTAAAAATCCCTGCCTCCAAGGAGCAGCCTGATTTCATCCTCTCCAGAATAAACCAGTTTGTTCTTGTAGAAATCCACAGTAGGTTCAAT